CCGTCGTTCCGGAGAGTGTCGCTTGAATTGTAACTGCTTCTCGATCTATGTAAAGCCCTACATTCGCCAACATTCGTTCACCGACCCGATAACATTTGATTGTAGCTTTCGTTGTAGGAGCTAGACGGGAATACAACATCCATAGTGTCTAAGATGAATTATTCGCCATAGCTCTCTATCAAGCAACTCACCAATGAGTCAAACTTTTTATTCTTAAATCGTCCCACTGCTCATCAGCCATCTCTAATAGTGCTTACGATATTAAGCATGCTGTTTCCAGCCTCAAGATCAATCATCTCAGAAGGAGGTCGCTTCTGTTTGTGGCAATTGTGGAGTTGCGGATTGTGACCTCCGTTGTCGGAGCTTGTTTGAATAAGCTATCTATTGTGATTTTTAGACAGCCTACACCGGTTTTCTCACTTGCTCAAAATTGTGATGGATGAAGCTCAATTGGGCCCTGCTTAATGCGTTGATGGATCGATGGAGGCCGGAGACTAACACTTTCCATTTACGTGTCGGCGAGGCAACTATTACTCTTCAGGACGTAGCGGTGATCCTTTTCCGCATTGATGGCCCTTGTGTTACGGGGACTGATAAGCATGTTTTGGCGAAGTGTATGTGATGATTTGTTAGGACTATCTCCAAAGTCCCTGCCTGGAGGATATATTAGATTGAAGTGGCTAAAGGAGAATTTTGCAAACCATTTGCCAGAAGATACATCAGAAGTCATGATCCAACAGCATACTAGAACATATATTTCGCACATGATCGGGACCCTTCTTTTTCCCGACTTAAGTAAACATAAAGTGCATTTGAGGTAAGACAACTTATTATTGTTATAACGCAATTGAATTTGATAAGGAGAGATTTTTGCTCACTATTTTTATAAAATATGACTAACGCATTTGAATATGTGATAGGTGGTTACCATTTCTCGAGGACTTTGACATGTGCGGCACATTATCATGGGGTAATGTTGTTTTAGCATACCTATATCGAGAGATGTCGAAGGTTGCATTAATGCAAAATAAAGAGCTCAAGGGATGTTTAACATTATTACAAGTTCGGGCATGGGAGAGGTTGGTTTTGAGACCGCGATTATGCGAGATTCGAGAGTTAGATGGACAGATTCCACTATGCTGCAGGTAAAAATCATTGAATTTAATTTAAAATTTAAAATTTTGAACAAAAACCTACCTTATATCATACCTGCAAATGGAATGTCACTAAAGCCTACGATGAGACCCCGACAAGACAATTAGATTTTTACAAAAGGGAGCTCAACCGGATGAAAATTTTTTAAGTATCGAATTTGAATCGAAGTTGTTTAAAGCTACCGATATATTTCAAAGAGTTATTAATATATGTAGTATTTTGCAGTTCGAGTGGCAGTCATACACACCTTACCTACCTCGTCTGCCGCTGATTTGTATGAAGGGACACGGCATATGGAGGGCCAGAGTTCCTCTCATTTATTTCGAAATTGTGAAAATGCACATGCCGGATCACGTGTTTAGACAGTTTGGATTCGCGCAGCACGCTCCACAATATGTCAAAAAAATAGAGAGAATTTTAAAGGTGGTCATCAGATTGACTGGGGAATACGCATCATTCATACATTGCAAGATGGAATGATCGGCATTAACTTATTGTTGATCAGCTTTATCTTACAATGGAGGAAGTCGATGACATTAGATGGTATTGGGGGATTACCAGACGTTGGATAATCACTCAAACCACGCCTCTGGTCGATGAAATCGAGATTCGCTCCCAACAATCTCGATATGTACCAAGAGGGGTAGATGAGAGACAATGGGTAAGTAATTGCGAAAATTATCATAGAGTTTTTAATCTCTTGTTAGCTTTTGGTTTTTTATATGTATCGATATTTTGTAAACGATTGTAGAAAGACGCTATGGACGAGGTAAAGGAGATTGCAAATGAGGGCATTGCTATCGCCACAGGAGATTCAGTACACGTATTATTCTTGCATCGAATAGTGGCGAGGGTTCGTAGAGCTTTTCGACAAACTTATGAGGATCGACATGAAGGTCGCGAGTTGGTGGCATGAAGATACTTTATATGCACGCCGACGAAGACGTGGTAGATCTTGCTTGCACAACGATGAAGCCGGTTCGTCACAGCAAGTGGGATCGTCACAGCCCCACACACAACCAGAGAGCGAGCATATACAAGCTCAAGACGAAGGAGGCCGTCGACGATCTGAGCGGATGCGAAGAGAGAGACGACGGGGGAGGGGCGGACTTTTAGGTTAGCTTTTCCACTAAGATTATATATTGTCGTATAAAATTATTGATACATTTGGATTTGTTTCGCTTAGACTACATATTATCTTATGGGTAGACTTGATACCTTTGGAATTGTTTAGGGTTTTGCCATATTGGTATGCATATGACATGTATATTGTGTTGTGATGTTCTGAATTGATTAAACTTGTTATTATCCGGTGTTTATTTCATCGGATTTGTGTTGTGATGTTGTGTATTTTTTAGATTTGTGTTGTGAAAATTTTGTGAAAATCAATGTGGATTTGTGTATTTTTTAGATTTGTGTTGTGAAAATCAATGTATACAATGTGGATAATATTTTTTTGAAAATTTTGGTCAAATAATACTGTATATGAAGTTAGAGGCGTGTGCATGTTTTTGTGCATGTTTTGCCTCTATCCAGCAAATTCACGGGACTAGTAGTCCCGTGAAATTGTTAGGCAGAAGCAAAAAAGCCTCTGCCTAACGTACGGGACTACTAGTCCCGTACATTAAGCAGAGACTTATTTGCCTCTGCCCAGCAAACCCACGGGACTAGTAGTCCCGTGGGTTTGGGGCAGCACAAATAAGTCTTTGCTTAATGTACGGGACTACTATAGTAGTCTCGTACGTTAAGCAGAGACTAGTTTGTTCTGCCCAGCAAACCCACGGGACTAGTAGTCCCGTGGGTTTGCTGGGCATAACAAATGAGTGCTCAAAACATACGGGATTACTAGTCCCGTATGTTTTCTGGGTGAACTAATCGGTGATTAGTTCACCTAAAATATGCGGGACTAGTAGTCTCGTATGTTCTGAACTGGGCGTTTTTTAAAATCGACCTGTTGGCAAAAAAAAGTCGATTTTGCTAAATAATTGGTAAAATGATCGATTTTGCTAATTATTTAGCAAAATCGGTCTTTTTCAAAAAATCCCTTTGTGCATTTAGTATCTTATAGGTTAGGAGCTCTAACTTCAGTGACTTCTTTTTTGTGTTTGTGTTTGTATGTGTGTGATTTTATTTATTATTCATCTCTCTTCTTATTTCTGAGGTAAAGACTGTTTGATGAGTCAAAACATTGTTACATTAAATACAAGTTCAATATCTACAACTAATTTACTTAACTTGTAGGCATTCATTTCTCAGGTATTGGTGCTAGTTATGCTCTGATCATTTGCAATTTTTTTATTTGTTATTTATTTTTGTTCAACAGTGTGGAACTTTAAGCTTTGATAAGATGGACCGTGATGGACAGCTTCATAGAATACATCTTCACAAGTTCAAAAAAGAATCGAACAGATATGACTTAGTTTAACATATATTATTACGTTAAAGGACATAAAAACTATCTTCACTTAAACATATATATGTTCTAACAAGAAATCGGTCTGTTATAAAGAGAAAATTGGAGATGATAACTAAATACAGCTTCTAGAAAGGAAATAACTTCTTAATGGATTAGGTCTGACAATAATTACTAAGCTTACCTGAGTTGATGAAATAGAATAAAATAATGCACAAGATGCTGCACTTTCTGGAATGGGAGGATCATCCCATAGGACCTCCTATTTCAACCAAAAGAGAAATAAATATAGCCTCAAAGAAGTGGATGCATAACATTGAAATAAAGCGCACAGGAAATAACCTGTATGGATTTGGCCATCTCCTTCAAAAGTGCAACCTCAATAAAAATGAGTGGCTCACCTAATATTAAGATACAAGAACAAGGTTAAATGATAGAATTGTTTATTATGCATGGCACAGTCTGCGCATTAAAATAATGACAGATAGAACCAATTATGGAGAGCCAAATACGCTTTCCATGAAGTTCAATTACATGCCAAAGATTATCCAAAGTTACAATAATGATGCTAGAATTTGAACTTCTAGACAATTACATGGCATAGATTATCCAGATATTTTTAAGAACATAAGAAACTGCTTAGGAGAAGACTAGAAGGGAGAGAAGACCAACTGCATATCAAGATAACAAGCGACCATTTAATGAATCAAAAGAGCAGCTTTAGATACCTGGTATGGCTGGATGTAAATATCCAAAGCAACGACGACCTACACTCAATCGTCTCTTCAAATCTAGGAGACTTCTGATTGGATGAACAGCCTACAAAACTGAAGATCAACTTAAACATTTCTCAAACAAAGAAGCTATATATATATATATATATATATATTATATTGAGAATAATGGATGTGAGCTGGCAGCCCACCTACCGCCGGTGAGCTGCAAGTGTATGACATGTGAGCCCCTACTAGTCACATCGGTGAGGGGTTCACATGTCATAATACACTTGCAGCTCACGGGGTAGGTGAGCTGCCAGCTCACTCCATTATAATATATATATATATAATATATATATATATATAATATATATATAGAGAGAGAGAGAGAGAGAGAGAGAGAGACTTCTGATTGGATGACAGCCTACAAAACTGGAAGATCAACTTAAACTTTCTCAAACAAAGAACTATATATATATATATATATATATATATATATATATATATATATATATATATATATATAGTATATATATATATATAATGAGAAAATGGAAAAACTTGTGTACCAAGTTGCTCCAAGGCAACTTGTAGTGATGTGACCTAATCTTGTCCCTACATCTACATTGGATTGGTGAAGGCTGGTTGAGGCTCTATCTTTGAGGTGTGATGTAGGGGCAAGATTAAACCACATCACTACTAAGTTGCTTTAAGCAACTTGTACCAAGGCTTGCTCCATCGTCTCTCTCTCTCTCTCTGCTCTCTCTAAATATATATATATATATATAATATATATATATATATATATATATATATATATACACACACATATACATACATATATATATAGTTCCAAACGCTAACCAAAAAGCAGAAGTTCCACCTCATATGCTACAATTTTCTCGAGCAAGGATGCAGAGTCATCCCATGTTATCTGGTGAAGCTCCAGCGCTGCAGGACTAAGCCAGGTTATAAGCTTTTCCTTTAGATATGACTCTAATGATCGAATGGATGGTGTATTTTCTTTGCTGTAGATAAGAGAGATCAGACGCTGACAAGAAATATCTATATTATTCTACTAAAACGATTGTCATTGATTGCAAGAATATGATATGTGTCAGTCATTCCTACACTATCTCTCTTGCAAATAGTCATTACCATCCATCTTTAGCTTCCATGTTATTGTGATTTTATCCCCATCTAACTCCTTTATTATTAAGTGGTTTATCTTGGACAGTTAAAGGTTTTTGTTTCAAATCATAGTATATCACAATATGCATGCAACAATATCGTAATACCAAATCCCATGCATTGCACAGGTAACAACGAGTAAGTCTAAATAATCTTGCACCAGATATTAGTTATGAAATTTATTATAATAAAGTCTGAGAATCTTACGCTAGCAAAGAGAGGAGATCAGCACGAAGAACAACCAACAACTTCAATCCGCCCGGGTGAGCATTCAGTCGTTCAAAAAAAGCAGCATACGTCGGCTTCAGTGCATCCCGTAGATTCTTCTCAGTCCTGTACAATGCAGCTAACCCACTTTCTTGTTCAGAACTGCTACAGTGTTCATTGCCTGTAGCTGACCAAACATAACAAAGCCCAGTTCAATAAAATTAATGAGAAGTGGAACAATTGTTAGTATGGGATAATTTTTTAATGTGGGATATTTTAGTGGGATAATTGGGAGTAATTTTTTAAAACAGGATATTTAGTGGGATAATTTTTAGTATAATTAAGGATAATTTTCAAAAATCAATAAGCATTTAAGTCATGTATACATTTTAAAACATATTATTATAATTATTTATTAATAATTATTTACTTTAGTGTTAATTAATCTTGAAGAACTATTAAATACACTATAAGATATAATAATAATAATAATAATAATAATAATAATTTGTAACTTTTTGATTTTTTGGAATTATTATTGTATTATAAATTAAAAAACATAGTTTTCCCCTTTTTTCTCTTTTTTCAATCTGCCAACATCATTCCATCATCTCTCAAATTTAATTAATCTTCAATAGAACATGAATTTTGCAATTTTTTAATTTAAATTAATTACACAATTCAAATATTTAATAAAAAATAAAAATAACATTAAATAGAAGGGAAGGCTAAGAAGAGATGTGATCTAATTTTATGGTGTGGTTTGAAGATAATGGAGAAATGAAATATGCAAAATAAAAAAGTAAGTAGGAAAGTTCTAACTTTTTACTATGTAGTTCTGGCTTTAAACTTGGGACAATTTGGAAGACTAGAACTCTCTTTTCTATATAAATTTGATAAAAGTGGGATAAATTTATCTCAGTCCTACTTTTTACCAAATTCACCATAAAAATTTGTCCCTCAATTTATGTCAGTTCTAATTTTGAGTTCTACTTTACTAACTCGCCCATAATAAAGAAATTGAAATTTTTACAGCTTTCGAGGTCGAAGCTGAGATACTGCAGCATCAGCTCGCGCACCCTAGCCCTGCTCACATCGTACTCTCTAGACAGCGAAAGCAGCAGCTGCCTTCGCCCATCTTGAGGGAGTTTAATGTAACCCTAAGATCAATTCAATCATCAAGAACAAAAACAAAAACGAAACTATTTTCATAATTATCATCATAAAACGACCAAACCTGCGAGAAATCTTCGAGATTGACATCAGCAGGCTCCGATTTGCTGCCAGGAACCGAGATTGACGCTCGCATCCATTCCTTCACATCCTGGAGCAGAACTTTGCCGCTGCTGTCTCCATTAGGATCGTCAACATCAACCTGAAACAAGAAGAGAAAGCAAAAGCTTCGATCGGATCTCATGAGGATAAGAGTGAGAGATGAAATCTAGGGTTTTGATGGAGAAATCGAGGGTACTTTTGGATGAGGAAGCGCTATTTCTGATTTCTTCATTCGAGTTCTCATGAGAATTGCGAGTCCCTTTCTGTTTCTGTTCATTGCTCCGGCTTCGTCAGCTAACACTAGCGGCGAGCAGTAACGGGCCTCATATTCCGATTTAGTTATTTTTGGGGTTCACAATTTACCTCCCAACTTTATTATGTTTTAACATTTAACCTTAAATTATAACATTTATTCGACTTTATTAGTATTATTTTTAAGATTAAAACAGGATTACTTTTTAGTTAAAATTAAAACCACAGTAATTTTTAATTACGATTATCCATCTATCTCAAATCATCTAAGGTATGGCTACGAACATAATTGGAATATTTTTACGGGTTAATTTCAAACAAATGTGTAGTATCACCCAGTTACAAATAAACCCCTTATAGTTTTATTTGATGTGAATTGACCCCCTGAATGTTTTTCCCCCTCCTGACTCTTATATTGAGTTTGGATAGAGTTTTCCAAGAAAGAAGGGGGAGGGAGTGGGGGGTTTACAATGCTAACCCTCTTAACATTATGTTTGTCTGCACTTCTTAGTTAGCAAGGGGAGACAAAATGAGGGATAAAAATTAGAAAATTTAGACACTTTCTCAACCCTCCAAAAATGGACAAATTAGGAGGTGAGGGGAGGGGTTTCAAGTGAAATTTTATTAAAATTCTAATATTGTCTTATATGAGAAAACCAAAAGGCGTACTTTCTTATTTTATTAAAAGGGCATATTGGTCAAGTAGCTCCTCTTCCCTTCTTATCCCCTACACCAAAGAACTTATAGTGTACCCTCTCATCCCCTATCCAAACACAAATGATTGCATTCCACTATTTTCCTTTCCACACCCTCCTCTTGGGTTCAAGTCAATCACTCCCCTCCCGTTAAAATTATTAAAAATGTTTGAGGAGACAGATAGACTCTATACGGTTCAATAGGTGAAGATGGACCTCGATTGCTGTTTTTTGACTTTTAAAAAAGTCAAAAAAAATTCATTAACAAAGTGTATTAACACTTAAAACCAATATTATAGGAGGTCCGTTAGCAACAAATAGAATTATAGAGAATCTACTCGGAATTGGGTGATACCACATGGAACCCATTTACAATTAACACCCTTTTTAATATCCATTAATTTGGTTTCCAAAATGCTATTGGGTTGTAATATGCCGTACAAGTTATTCCGGAACTTATTTTATCTTTTGAAATTTTTACAAAACAATGTTGGACTGTGGGGAAACAGAAAACAAAACAAACAGGGAAAAATAGACAGCCGGTACCTCATTAACATCCTACATTCTGAAGATAAGAGGCTCCGTAGAAAACACAAGAAGGAACATAAAATTTAAGGAGATAGCGCAGGTATGCAACTTCACTTGTCACCACATCGAGTGAAAGCGCAACAAGAAAATGCTATTTTTGTTTTTTGAATACATTGTCAAGGTAATATACACTGATACATGTAAAAAAGTAGGACAGTTGATAGTTTATGGAGTTTCTCGGTGAAACAACTGAAAATGATTTGTGCTTCCCGCCACTAACGACATTTGACATCACGGCTGTACGTACTGCAAAAAGCATATGAGTAATACATAAGTGTAATTCTCGAAAACTAAAATCAAGGGTTTGCGAACTTTCTCAAGTCCTACCGAAGAGCTCGAACATGTGAATGCAAATGAGATCTGTGGCAGAAGCTTAGCTAAATCTTGCTTCCCTTCGGAGTACCTGAAATAACAGAGAACACTTTAAGCTAATTTAGTTTTGAAGCCTTATGTTCATTTGTGATCAATGGTTATAACATGGTTTCGAAATTTAGACCTTCCTATACCCCCAACTAATTTAGCTTTGAAGCCTTACGTTTATTTGTGATCAATGGTCATAACATGGTTTCAAAATTTAGACCTTCCTATACCCCCAACTTTGGACAAAGCCATGTCTCCATGACAAAAAAACAGAGTTAAATAGAAGGTGCATGTGATGGAGATGGGAGAGAAGTAATCAGAGGGTACAACTCATATGAAGTATATTGTGAATAAAATTAAGTTTATGCTGTTAATCTATGCATCGATTGGGGGAATAAGACAGGCTTCACATGAGGTTGTGCAGTTGCCTGAAACATACTTAAAACAATTGTCCACGGTCAAGGGAAGTTCATGAAAATAGACATGTTTTGGTTTCAGCGTTATTTTGTATTAATAAGGTGAGAAATAATGCAAAGAACTTAGTACAACTGATTTGAAAGTCACACCAAAATATTGATGCTAGAGCTTAAATAACATAACATCAGTTATTGACACTTGTACCTTAGTGGCTAATTCAGCACATATGCCCTTTCGATCCCAAATTGGCTAAAAAAATCATAATGTATATTGAACACATAACTCACCTCCTCAGCAAATTTGATCAAAATTGTGGTACGTGGCCTTTGTTGGCCTTCCATAGGAACAAAATGTGCAGTGACAACAGCAGGAAAACCTGCATTATCTAAGACACCCTTCAAAAGAACCAAGAAATATTTAGAATGTTAAGTTACTTGTCTCCAAGAGAATAACACGTGGACAACTGAAGAAACTGTCTCACCTTCACAATTCCAGCCACAAAAGCTCCACAATTGAATGACCCCATATCTTTTGGTATGGAAATAAATCTTGCATTACAGTGGATGAGCAGGTTACCATCAGAAAGTTATAATACACACTATTTAAGCTACATAAAAGCATAGTAGATTACCGATTGACCAGAAGTTCTTTTTCACTGATCATGTATTCATCTTCATGTTCAGTTCCCTTCTCAAGTGAGTCTGCAACCTAGTAAAATAGGAGTAGAATGAGACGGGTAATTAGAGTTAGGATGCGCTTTGAAGCAGAATTAGAACCAAACATGTGGAACTAATCCTAGTACATAAGATGAATAATCAACCAATAATTTAAAAAATCAAAAAGTGAAACTCAGATGCTTGAACCCAACGGTAAAGGACATGGGTATTAAATCATTAACATTTCTTTGTTTAATAAGCATATAGGAAAGGCTATGGCTGTGTGTGTAATTGTGTTAACGTTAAAATATCATGCTTTTCATTACATCTCATTCTCACGTGTAGCAGTTGTGTACAGAGTAACTACAACTCTACTAGCAGACAGGAAATAGAACTAAGAATTGGAGAGCCTGCAGTTCTTTGCCATATAGGCTTGAGCATTATGTTAGCATCATGATGTTGCTAAGTTCCATTTTTTATATACCGAGTCGCGAATAGGCACATACAGTTAGGTCTCATGTTTATGAGCCTACTATCTAATCTAGTTTTGATGATCAGCAGACAATTCCTAACATCGTGTGTTGAGTGATTGTGTTTGCTTGTTAGGTATTCTACACAAAGATCACCCGTTGGAGGTTGGATAGAATTGAACGCAAATGACGATATCTTGGAGGTTGGTGGAAATAGGAATGAAGCCGTCACAATTCAAGTCGAGATTATCATCGCTTCATCCGCAACCAAGACGAGCTAATTGAAGATCTATTGCTTGGATATAGTAGTTTAGGTTTATACTTTGTGTGTTTATACTTAGAGCTCAAATCATACACACACATTTTATTTGTTTTCATTGTTTTACACATTTGTTTCGTATTCATCCCATTATACATCCTTTTGGAAAAATTACGTGTTTACGGATTAAAACGGATTAAAGACTTGACTATACTATTTTACATCTTTTATAAAGTCTATTAATCCACTCAAAAGAAGTTTCAAACTTGTTTGAAATCATTTTGTCAAAATCAAGTGTTTTAAGATTTCGTATTTTGACTGATTTTGCAAAATGACAAGTTTTCATTAACGGAGAATGATATTTTAAAATTTTATTTTATAACATGTTCATATTCATGCATATAAACATTTCCCCAAGTTTCATAATTTTTGGAATTTATTTGTTATTTTTCATACAACTTTGAAAATTAGTTTTTCTGCTCTAAACTGAGTTGTGCACGTTTATCAGTCGATCGACATTGTTCATCAGTCGACCGATAAACTGCCATGCAATTGCTGAAAAGTTTCTACTCAATTGACCGATCTCCATCAGTCGACTAAATAGTGTTTTCAATCGACCGATGACTTGCATCAGTCGACCGATAAACTGTTCTGCATTTTTAGTTTAGTTTCTACTCAGTCGACCGACCTCATCAGTCGACTGAACAGTATTTTTAGTCGACCGATGGTTTGCATTAGTCGACCGATGGTTTGCATCAGTCGACCGATAGTTTTCCAGAATCAGCCAACGGTCAGCTCATCAGTCGACTGAACAGTGCATCAGTCGACCGACGGTACTGTAACGGCTAGTTTTCCAGACTCGTTTTTTTATGGTTTTTGGTTTGTTTGAGAGGCTATAAAAAGCCCTCAACTCTCATTTATTTCTTATGGATGTTTAAGTGAGTTTACACAAGTTTATTTTAAAGTTTTAGGTGTGTTTTGTTTATACAAAAAGTTTACAAGAGGAAGAGATCATTTTGGTTTTGAGCATCATTCTTGGAATCTCTCTTGTTCTTGGAGAAGTTTTCTAAACTCAATTATCTAGCTTGTTTATATTCAAATTGTTATATTTATATTTGCTAGATTAATTCGAGTTTGATTTTATTTTTAATCATTGATTTCACACACAACATATTTGAGCTTAAGTATTTTCACATATTGTATATTTGGGTTGTGGTGAGTGGTTCTTTGAAAGTGAGCTTCATTTTAGTTCTCATCTTGTTTAGAGAACAAATCTTGTTATTTGCACTTTATTGTTGAGAACACGTTGTAATACACAATGACACTTAGAGGAGTGGTTGGGAGAGACCGTGGTCAATTCCAAGAGAAGTGGTGTTGGTTGTAAGGCCTAGGGAGAGGTAGTAAATCCAAGTACTTGAGGAATGTGGCACGGGTAGGCCAACACTTAGAAGAGTGTCTTGTGGTATTGACAATAGTGTGATTTGTAAACGTTATCGGTAAGCGTTGAAAACAGATTGTGTAGTTGTTTTAGTGATATAGTGGAGTATCTCCTCGAGGGTGAGGAGCGGAGACGTAGATCGAGGGTGACTGAACTCCGTAATCATATTGTTTGTTTGTGTTTGGTATTGGCGCACTTATCATTGTCTCATGTTTATATCGCTCTTTGTTTAATTCTATATACTTGCATATATCTCTTGTATACATCACATTCTTAGGATATATTAGTTAATAAGTTTTAATTCGGCAACGAAATCGGATTAGATTAGCAATTACCATATTCAACCCCCCTCCCCCTCTAGGGTACTTTCACATACAAGTTACCCCTCGAATATTGCAGTAGAATCAATTAATAACACATTGGAAATAATGAGGATGTAACAATTAATAAAGACGACCGCTGTTATCATCTCCGGACAAACCAAGATCGAGAATGTTCAACAGAAATACTCAACATAAGTCTATGATTGATTGCAATACCAAAAGATGATTACAAGCGCAGAAAGTTCATGATTTAGTTCAGAGGCAGTAGATACCCAAGAAGATGGAGTAAATGTAGACCACAGCTCCATACTTTTTTCATGTTATTGCTGTTATTTACTAGTAAAAGTTGAACAGGTTTAAAACAAAATTTGGACATGAATATTCCAGCAACCAAATTAACATTTTTTCAGATAATTGTGATGTGTAGAGTTGGAAAAGTTTCAAATGCATTTTAAAGTGAGCCACCCCAAGGGTGAATTTAATATGCTGATTCTAATTCCTCTGCATTTTGATCTCAGGAGATATCAGAAATTATATAACACAATAATATCTAACGACATTCTCCTTTATCAAACAGCTAACGTAAATGATGGAAATAGTTATGAAGTGTTAGTGCAAGTCAAGGATGGTTGATATCTCGTACTCTGGGATATAAGTTGATCTTTTACTCGGTTATCGTTGGACAGTGAATGATGGTAAACTATTGTTGTAGCTAAAAAAAGTTTATTAAAAAACAGGCAAAAGAAGAATAGTGTGCTGCGTGAGAAACCTTTCCGAATAGAACCTTCCACACCGTACTGTGTACAAACGACAGTATCCCCAATAAGCGTGTCTCCCTTCTGTTTCCCTGCATCAGAAAATTGATATACAATATTAGACTTTGTATGCAATGAAGCTACGAGAATCACAGGGGATCCATGACTTGCTTATACCAAGAAAACCACTGTCTGCTAATAAAACATATTACCATGCAAAGAGAAGAATTGGAAACGCCTAGTACGTGTTTTTTAAGAGATTAATAGGTGTTATTGAAGTGAATAAATTGTACACATCATATAAGGATTTCAAATGAAGCTATCTCTGTAAGTGGTGCCATAAAAGCCATGAAACTTCCAGACTGGGTCATACAAAAGCGAAAGTATAAAGCCATTGAAGAAGCAACTACAGAGCCCAGTAACCATATACTAATGCACTTGTGATGCAGAATGAGTTTACATGAAGACATTTGATTCAGGGATGAGTTTCAATATGCTTCAATTATTATAGGGACAAAAAACTTAGCAAGGTTCTAAATTATTTTGGTCAATTTTAGATAAGACAGGATATTTTTTAGTTTTAATTTTTTTTCAATATATTTACCCTTTTCTTCTGCCTTAGTCAGGACTTTGGCAATAGAGATATGGTCAATTCTTTTGGAAACATTCAGGTCCTGATGGTAAAAACAAGAGTCCAGTTTGCTAAGGAAAATTGAATAGCTTCCGCTTTGTCTGGTTCAGCCCAAAATCATAAGTTTTCTTCAGGGCATAAAAAGGAGAAGAAGAAAAAAATCTCAGAAAGCCAGGGACCTCCACAAGATTATCTTGTAGCAAAATGGCTATTAAGTAATGGCATGCTATCATTATTCTCATGCTTTTCACAATCCAGTAAATTTGTAGTACACATAATGAATGACAACATAGCAACCATGTAGTAGGAAAATACAAATAAATAAACAAGTGTTGAATGTTGATTATTACGAAAAATGGAAGTGTTTTCTGTTGATCCAAACATTGAATCCATGAAGCATATATTGTTTAGACTTTAGAGTAGGACTGTAACAGCTCAATATCAGATAACATCATCACCCCCCACCCCCCCACCCCCAAAAAAATGAAGATCCTTTCAAGATAATTTTAAGCCACGGAATATAATATGATGAATTGTATGAAATTAGTATGGTAATATCATGCAAGGTAAAATCCAAGTTAGTCAGAAATAGAAATCAGTTATATACCTTATCTCTATGGCAAAGAAGTTCAAGTACTCTTGCTCCAACAGCATAGCCAGCAGCCTCTAACCTACATATCCATAGGCATGTAATATTTCATTTTCATGAAGCACTGCATAAGATTAAGTGTAAATTTCAGGAAACCCCCCATTTTCACATGGGTGGGTGAAATTATGTAGGGGGTATTTTTTGCCGGTGAAAATTGTGGTTCAAGCTTTTAGGGGTTTTTTTGAAATATATTGAAAGTTGAAGGGGATCTTCAAAGAACCCCAAAACTTAAGGGGGATTCTTGACATTTTAAAAGTTTAAGGGGGGAACACCTTCAAATTTTAACATTTAATAAAAAAATTGCACGATATTAACCACAATTTTCACATGGGTGGGTGAAATTATGTAGGGGGTATTTTTTGCCGGTGAAAATTGTGGTTCAAGCTTTTAGGGGTTTTTTTGAAATATATTGAAAGTTGAAGGGGATCTTCAAAGAACCCCAAAACTTAAGGGGGATTCTTGACATTTTAAAAGTTTAAGGGGGTTTATCTGACCAAACGGCCAAACTTTTTTTTCTTGTGTGCGTGAATTTTTTTGTTGTGTTCTTTTTTTTTTGGGTGGGGGGGTGAGGGGGTGAGGCGTGGAGGTAATGAAAGTTAACCTAAGACTAACTCTTCCGTAATGGAACCAGAGGCAACATGTAATCGACAGATATGGTTGTATTTTGTTAATATAATAATTAAATCAACTTTCAGAGCTTCAAACATCAGATCTCTTCAAATATCTAGATTCTAGAAAGATTTGGATCCTCTCCATTACAAAAAAAAACAATGGAGAGACCACTACTTTTATCACATTCATTGATCTCTCCAGTGGATGATTGTGATTCATTATAAATGTAGTAATCATCATACAGCCATGAATTATACTCATTCCTAATTTACACACTCAAAGACAAATCACAACCACCCACTAGACAAATCAATGGTTGTGATAAAAGTAGTGATCTCTACACTAATTTTTGGTAGTGGAGAGGACCCGAATCCATTCTAGAATTGGTTCTTGTTATGTAATATTGGTGCTGCTCATCGGTTTGACTGGATTGGATCAATATACTTAAAAATCTAATGTAATCAGAAACATATAGCAGCAAACATGATAGGAAAATGAATGCATAAGATTAAAGCATGTCAGTTAACTATATATATATAGATCGAATAGCATCAAGCGGACAAAAAAGAAATTTTACCGTCGCTCGAGCTCTGCAATGTTATCGACTTGTGTCTGGTTGTATTGTACCATTTCAGAAAACAGGAAGGCAAATGCACTCAAGCTAACCTGCAAGAAAAATGTCAAGTGAATATGTAAAAAATTAGTCTTTGATGCCGTTAACACTTTTACGATAAATTGTTGGCCTTCAATCTGATGAGTATTATTTCTTTTCCATAAATAGATTGAAATACGAGATAAAGAACGAAAAAGAAAAGAGAAATTGATGAGCAGAAACCCTAATGAAGGGATTGTTCACCTCTTGCCTGCCTCTGCTGAGGGGTTTGTCGAGGACGTTGCTGTATTGCTTTGGCTTGGCCCCGACTCCGATCATTTTGGTTGTTGACGTTGCTTCAAAACCCTAAAAATTCCCAGCTCTCGATCACTTAATTCCTCTTCTCCTTCAATCTCGATCTTGTTCGATTGCGGTTGCGCTTTTTGCTCTGCGAGTGAAAGGGGGGTGTTTTATCGACTGACTAGATTTACCGCTGACGATGGGTCGGGTTCGGGGGTTCGCAGCTGTGAAGGGACCGAATCCAAACAAGATCACAATCCCCCCCCCCCCCCCCCCCCCGCCCTTCTTTCTTCCTTCTTTTTTTTTTTTTTTTTTTGGGGGGGGGGGGTTGGGGTTATTTGTTGAGAATTGTTGCTAGGACGGGGGTTATTGTTTGAGAATTGTTGACTAGGACTAGGATTTTTTCCTATGATTTAATTTTATGGTATTATTGATTTTAAAATTAGAATTTAGATTTAAACGGTACTTGACACATTAAACGTAACTTTTTTGGTCTGATCCACACGGGAAAAATATAGGGGGTCTGGTCACATGTAGTTAATATTTTTAGGGCATTGAAACAGTTTTCCTAAATATTAAACAGTTTAATACTTATATTGAATGTTTGACAAATCATTCTATTATATTTAATGTTTACAGATTTAAATATAAAAGATATAAGTAAATTTTTAATCTTAAAATTGTAACTACAAAAAAATATTAAACTATAGAAAATTATTAATGAAATAATTATATTTTGTTGATAAAATAGTAGTTATGCTTGTTAATAATTATTTAACATTCAATCTAAGAATCCATTAAGAAGCTTTAAAATCCTTCATAAAAGTCGAGGACTTTAAACAAAAAAAAAAAAAAAACCTAGTCATAATCCAAATCCTAGAATGTATGGTTCTTGGATAACCAGCCTAACCTTACCAAACAATTTTGAACAAATAACACCCCCTTAAGGAAGAGGGCAGACTTTCCAGAAAACACACTAGCAGTGTTTGGTTCCTAGATTGTTCGTTGATACATGCAAGGGATTTAAAAACTTTTATATTAAAAATCTTGTTTGTATATTAAAGAGTTTTTGTATAAGAGATAAATTTGAACCACACTTTTCTTATTGAACATGAATTTTGTTGGCAATGTCTGACTAAAATCACAAGTGATTAAAATCAACACAATTTTTTAGAATTATATTTGATTCATTTGTCCTATGTGACAACTGCAAATCCGTAGTAAAAGAATATTAAACAAGCAACATATTTACTAAAAAACCATGAATTTTAACTTGTGAATCCTTTTTTAGATGCAAAATGCTAAATGCATGGAAACGGACACCCCCGTAAAAAAACATTTTTTATAAAAATAGACAATTTCTAAAATTTAATTCTCAAAATAAACAAAATTAATTTTTACTTATCGAAGCCGACTGATTCTAAGCCACATCAGCACCAACTACCAGAAGTTTATCCTTTTAGAAAAAAGTGATTTTTAGTTACCGAGGATTGAGAATTCCGGGAAATTAAAAAACTTAATTAAAACTAACAATTTTGTTAATTCTATCCACACATTCCGCTTGGAAATCCACACTTGTCCAAAAGAGTGATTGCATGCGGGGCCGTTTACAAATCCAAGGGATCTCATTTATGATCAATTCAAATATGTGTGTTATTTAGGGATTAAAATGTTAAGTTTACGGGATTGGCAATTCCATGCTCACAAAATTAATAACTTTCCGTAACGCTAATGCGGCATAAAATCAATTTTAGGATAAATAAATATTGGATTTAGATAGGTGGTAATTGGAGATTCTCCAATTACCACCTAAATATTGTCGTGCGCTCTAAATTCAATATACGAGATTAGACCATGTAGGATTCCACTATTGTGATGGTAAGAATAGTGGTTTATGGAAAGTAACAGTTTTCAACACCACAACGGTTTTATCTTATGGCCTAATCTCATCCTTTGAATTCGTAATGTACGACGATGATTGGAGGAATTGGAGACTTTCCAACTACCACCTAATTGGAGAGGATCCGGATCCATAAATATTAATCTGTCGATTTTGAGAATTAAGTTTTAGAAATAGTATATTTTAAAATTTTCTCCTATCATAAACTTAATCATTTTGTGGATTGGTCCAGCGAATATGAAGATTGTGGAGCAAGAAAGACATGCGTGAATTTTCTTGACTCTCTGAACGGACTTTTAAAATTTCCCGGGCCGGTACTTCTCAACTTTTGTGTGAGACTAGATATGTAAATTAGAATGACTAGTAGAAAAAGAGATTGTGTTCTTGTTCACCGTAGTTGTCCGTACATTGGCACCAGTTTTTTTTGCTAGTTTGTTACAGAACTAAACTATATTCGTTTTGTTTTCTGAAAATAAGCGAAGGATTTCTATTTTAATCTGTTCATTCTCTAAAAGATGGGTTTTTCCGAGTTTATTCTTAATATTTAAAACAATACAATAAACTCATAGCAAAACAAAAGGAAAAAAAACTTTCTTCTTCTTCTTTTTAATCCTCTCGTATATATTTAGGGGCTGTTTGGTTCGCTATTATAAGGGGTGGAAAACTCAGAAAATCCATCCACATCAGATTTTTAGCCCTTCACGTCAGTTTTTTTGTTTCCGTCCATTTCTTTGTGCCGCTTTGGTTCGCTCGGATGGAAGAGGGAAAACTCTGCTGAAATCGCCGTCAGCTCAGATTTTTTTCCCTCTCTGATTTCCTTCCCCAACCGAGTGAAATTGATGAAAACTCTGTCACGTCAGATTTTTTTCCTTCTTTGCTTTGTTTACAAAAGTTTTCTTTTTTTTTCTATGCGAACCAAACACAAGAAAAATAAATACATTGGTTTCTCACCATTTTTTATGTGCGAACCAAAGCAAAACAATCTATTTCTTGAAAAAGTTTGAAAAACTCAAAACTTATATTTCTTTACATGGGCATTTCCCTATATCAAGGAAACGAACCAAACAGCCCCTTAACATACTCGTTATACAGATTAAGGCATCTTAATCCCTACAAAAGAAAAAGTAACAAAATGTATCACACCTAAGCCCAAAAAAAACATATACATTATTTAACTTTAAAACTAAAAAAGAAAGGAAAAAAATACTCTCATTCCTTTAATTATTTCAATGGGCTTTCAGCCTGCTAAGAAGATGCACGGCCTTCCTCAACCATACTCAACCTCGCGAAAACTCCAACCATAGGCGCTGTATTGTAAGTACAAGCCTCGGTCTGCATAAAATTCCCTCTTCTATCCGTAAAATTATCTTGATAATCAGGCCCGCCCACAATTGCACCCACAAGCACATTCGGATTCGGGTCCCGCCGCCCGTACCAACCATCATACCCCTGAGTGCACCCAACGAACTCCTTGCTATCCTTGTAGGATACCATCGAGGCTCCTCTATGGTGCACTCTCTTGGGCCAATTTGATCCGAACCCGACTAAATAGCTCAGGCCCATCGGGTTCGAGCCCAATATGTAGTCGGTTTGGGACGCAGCAAAGCCCAAAAGCTCTTGAGGCCCAATCGGCCCGTCAGGACAGTTCACTTGTCCGCCGGCTTCGACCAAGTAGTCGGAGTAGACGGTGATGAGGAATGTGGCGCCGGATACATACTGCATATTGTTCCACTGTCGGACGTAGAGCAGGCCGCCTGCGGTGCGGCCGACATTTCTCCCGTTGTTCTTGTTTAAGCATGCGCAAATGTAATGCTCGGCCTTGGTTCGATATTGCTCGAGAATTTTCCGATGTTTTCGGTCATGTTCGGTCAATAGTAGCTGAAACAAAAGCAACAAAAGAACTGATCAAGCCCCTTAATTTATCCGGTCATGTTTGTTCTATTCATCCTGCATCATCACTGTACAACAAAGGAAAGAAAGTTCTAAAAAAGTTATAACTTTTACGAGCTTTCTTGCAAAATCGCCTCAAATTAGGGTGATTTTGCAAGAAAACCAGCTAAAGTTTTGACTTTTTTAAAACTTTGGCGGGCTTTCCCCTCTAAATAATGCAAAGAAACGGGTCCTAAGAGATTCTCAAATGGGGAAATTTTGATAGGACTAACCGGAGATAGGTCCTCTACACATAAACCTCACTAAGATACAGACATCATTACACTACTGCACTATGATTCTCGTTGTACGCTTCACATCTCCACCACCAAATCTCGCCGGAAACAAGGAGAATCTTAGAGCTAGGGTGATGACGATGTTCAATCAAGTTTCAGAAAGTTTATCAATCAATGTCAAACAAGAGAAATGATAAACGATACATCGCAACAATAAACATGTCCACCACCATGTGCAACTAACCTCCAAGTAAACTCTCGTTAGGGAGCGGAGTTTCAAGTCGAGTAACTTGGGCTCCCAAGTCAAACTGGGCTGCCGACATATCCAAAGGGCCCCATCACGCGTAATGGTTATGTGTCAGAGCGTAGGCTCATGACAATGGTGCTCCGTAGTCGGCCAAGCCCAGATCAAATCCGAGTCCAGTCATTGGAACTCGAGCCCGTTCCCAGACTAAACAGGCCCAAAACTGCGGGTCCATGACCCCATCGATCCGACCTATTTTAAGCTACTCACAGTGCCCCTAAACCCGCCAAAAAGTCGGTTGCGTGTCGGGTCTAGAGGCCTTAGTTTTTAGGCTATAACTAGCGAGCTACTCAAGAAAGATAATCGATTTTGATGTAGTACTTCACGGTCCAATCTATTCGGTGGAAAAAAAATAAAAAATAAAAAATAAAAAAAAAGAGGGTGATGATGATTAATTACTTTGGAGGCGAGGATTTGCAGACCGGCATACTTAACGTCCCAGCTGAACTCAGTAATAGCCCACCCAATCCCGCCGAACAATTGGGCCTTCTCTATCGCATAGTCCAAGTACTGGGCTTGGCCCCCTGTGGCCTTGTGCAGCCACAGCGCAGCCCACAGAAGCTCGTCTCACCGACGCATAGTAACTCTTCACCGCCCCCACACTGCTATCGTACTTCCCTCTGTACCTGTCCCCAAACTCAAACAGCTGCACCACCACACAAAATCAAAATACCTCCAATGTTCACGAATTTTGACGGCAACGAGGAGATTAATCATACCTGTTGAGCGTGGTGGAGGAGCAGGTGAGAGTAATGCGGGTCGGATTTCCTGAAGACGACCGAGGCCGCAGCCATCGCCGCGGCGGTCTCCGCTGCGAGATCCGACCCTGGGTTCTCAGCGTCGATTTTGTACGCTTTACGCGATGTAGTCATGTCCTCAGGCCTCTGCCAGCAGTAGTGGTCTGTGTCGCCGTCTCCTACCTTCGCCGTTCAAATTAAGCAAATCAATCCTTGCTCTATTACTATACGTATACTAAAAACAACAAATGCAGGTTTGCGCGAATATAAAAAGTCGTAGTATTCTTCTTCCAGCTTTCGTATATCGTACAACATTAATATCTTTATGTCAGTCCCATCAGAATTCAACAACTAAAACCCATTAATAAAGTTGAGCTGTTGGCGGCCTACCTCGGCCCAGAGCACGTTGGGGCTAGTGTGAGCCTTGACGAAGTAATCAGTCCCCCATTTGATCGCCTCCAGAGCGTGCTCGTACTCGCCTGCGGCGGCTATCTGCTGCCGAACTTAACGTGGTCGCCGGCGTCGTAGTATCCCCCGACAAGATCAACCTGCACGTACGAAATTAAACAGAAACGGTATTGTGAAATTTTATTCAGCTTGGGAGAATAAAAAAACAAAAAATTGATCGACGATGAGAGATCGGTAGGGTGATATTACTCCTTGTTGGAGCCCGTCGGTGAGCCCCGAATGCCCTCGCCATCGAACGCGCTGGTTGTAAGGGAGGTGGCCGGACCGCTGGGCCTCGAAGTACAGAAGGCTTTTTGATAGGGCGTCCTTGTAATCAAATGAGGATACGGGGGCGAGAACTGAGAGAAGAGATATTGCAGCCGCAATGAAGATTGAAGGGAGCCCGTTTCTCCCCATTCTCGGTTCTGGTCACCGCTAGCGCTGCCACTGGAAGAAGCAGAGGAAATGAAGAGGGGGGTAATGTGATACAAAAGCATGTGGTCTTCACATGGGGAATAAAAGAGAGAGAGCGGGGTATTCCTTTCTTTTGGGGTTACCCTACGATTTATGTTGTTCAGTTGGAGAGATTGAGTAGCGCAAGGGGAATGGTTATCAAGGGGAGTGGTTTGCATTTAGAAGGGGTAAATTTTACAAAACACACCAAAATGTTGCGCCCGTTTGTGTGAGGATCCCCTTGATCTTTTCCAACGAAGCTCCGGATTTAATTAATATTGCCAGTTTTGATTTGTAATTGTAACTGCAGTTGCAGAGATTAGTGTAATGACTCTTGAATCATAGAAGTTTAACTTATAGTGAATGGGTTTGGAATAGGCCCCCACGTCTACCGAAAATTAACCTCAATGTTCAAAGCTTCCTTATATATAATAATTAGAACCAACGGTTCAACAGAAATACAATAGATTTGAAATTTTTAAACAAGAAAGAAGATTAGTGATCATGACCTCTGACCTTAATACGTGCAGGGGGGTGAGTTGGGGATTTTGTGGGTAAAGTTAGCGGTTTCATGGAAAATGTAAGGGGGGTTTGATGGGAAAAAGAAATTTAACGGGTATTTTTAGATAACGGTTCAAAATTCTTAGGTGTGTTTGAAAAATGTTCCGTTAGAAAATTCACCGGCTGGGCTTTCTGTCGCTCACCTACACGCACACATCCCAATTATTATTATCATTATTATTTTCTTCTAAATTATACGAAATTGGATCCTTAAGCTTCTCGCATTGGCTTGGGGCTTGGGACTTGAGAAGAGAGGAAAGGATCATATTCCGCAGGATTTGGTGGGAAAAGTGAGAGAGAAGAGATTGATGGGTACTTTGGTTGACCCGATGGAGTTGTTTAGTAAAGGTTCAAGAAATGAGGGCTCTTGTGATTTGTTTTTATTTATTTATTCAATATTTGGAAACTGAGTTCATATATATATACTATTTTTTAATTAGTCTGGAGGCAATTACTCTATTCATAGTTAAAAAGTGGAGTTGGTGTTTGGGTTTAATTCATTGGATTTTGGTCGAGTCATGGAATGGTTGGCTACTTTATGTATTACTTTTCAAATACACAAATTTATAGTTATACACGTTACAAGCAGTGGTAGAGCTACATTAGGCTCAGGGGGCTTCATCTTACCTTGAATTTTAATAAAAAAAATTAAACATGTATGATTAAATTGTTGGAACGATAGTTCTGGTATAACATTGTTCGTGCAATATTCTTTGTTTGATCAAAAACATACTCCCATTTGCTACTGATATGTTTACAATATGATATAGTATAGGCAAGTACAAATAAGTTACAGTTTAAAACAATACAAAATCAACACAAATGTTGGTTTTAGCCTTGGAAACATTGATGGCCACGAGGCACTATCGATGGTCAGTCAAGTCATTGATGGACTATAGGAAAGAATCAGAGAAATATAAACTAGATTTCAAACCATCGACGGTCTACAGTCGACCATCGATGGACTACAGTCAACAATCATAGCAATCCATAAACCAAAATTTGCACAATCGATGATCATATCTCACCATCGAGGGTTTGGACACGATTTGGCGGTTTTTGAAAGTTTTTAAGATCCAATCTCAGTCGTTCCTTAATAGTTTTGGACTTCTATTGGAACTCTGATTAGAGTATTTCTTTCCTATATTTTCAAGACCAATTTAAAGGGGAATTGAGAAAGAGAATAAATAACAAGAAGAGAGAAGGCAACTAGGGTTTGTGAGAGAGTTTGATTTGAGAATTCAACCTTGGCCTCGTTCAACTTTCATCTCGTCGCTCACAACATCGAAGGATTGTTTCAGAGAGAAGAACTATCATTTGCATTCAAATTCAACATCGCTTCTTCACGGATCTTCATCATTATTGATTTAAAGTGCAGTTTGTTAAAAGCACTGTAAGATTTTTCTAATTGTACTTTAACTATATTTGGGTTGGTTTTATATTTTAAACTTATAAGTTTGATAGCGTACTCAAGCAGTGGTAATTAAGGGTTAGCGTAATCAAGCTAAGTGAATAGAGGGTGTCTAGCTAGGGCTAGGTTTCCTCTGGTTATTGTGAGGAGTTAGGTTAGTCGATCAACTGGTTTCGGATAAATTCTAAGGTCTCGTCTATAAAGCCTACTAAATTAGGTTGTGATTTGGAAGAACTTTGGTCATAGTGAAGAATGTTCTTCGCAGAAAGGAATAGTATACGTAGGATTTTGATCCGAACCACTACAAAAATCTCGTGTTTTCCTATGTTGATTTGCTTTTGGTTTTTTGCATATTATTTCTGCTGCTTATTCTGAGTTTAGTTAAAAAATTATAGCAATTCTATTCACCCCACTCTAGGCTTGTGTCCAGTTCCAACATAATTTTTTATAGTAATATTATATGGAGACCTTAACTTTATTAAGTTTAATACTATGGATTCATATGTGTGTATGTGTGTGTGTGTGTGTGCGCGTGTGTGTGTAGAAATATGGATATGCTTGGTACCAAGCATAAGTTTTTGTGCTTGGTAGTGAGGCGTCTAATTCTCATCCACTCATTCAAATGGGGAACTACATTCACATGTATTGGGGAGAGTAGGAGAATGGGACACCTCACTACCAAGCATACCCATTTTTTCATATATATATATATATATATATATATATATATATATATATATATATATATAT